TTTTAAAGGACTCTGACTGTAATTATTGTTATCTTTGGTTTCCATCCAGCTCATACAATCTCCCTCTTTCAGCAGCACTTTCAAGTTGCAAATTATTCTTTATATAAGAGTGATTAGATGTTAATATATGATACATTTTCTGCTGCTGAATAGTTACAAAGTTACTGAGTGCTTGCAGTAATTCTTATGTCATAATCATGCTTTATTTAACATATATGAAATGCCAGGTGCTATTCTAAGCATATAACATATATTTGCCCATTTAATTATCATGATAATTGAACAGTTGTGTACTGCCTGAAAACTTTACAAAATTAAAGAAAATTCATAGATTTATGGTGTTCCATGCTATTTTCCTTATTAGTGTTCTCTTACCAATTTAACCATTCATTGTCTTTCTTCCTATCCACACTAATGTGACCTAAAACTTTATCCTTCCTACAACAAATGCCTTTTTCCTTTTCCTGTTTTATAAAAGTTGTTTGCCTACCCCTTATTTTTGGATTATTTTCTTTAGTAAAGGAATCCAAGAATTGCTAAAAAGACTTCAACTGCAGACAAATCACTCTAACAACCAACTCTGCATTCATTTCTAAGTAGTAATGCCAATGATAAAATGCTTTAAAATTTAGTTTTTATTTTATGACTTCTATTTCCTGTTTTGATGAAATACAAATGTGAAATTTTCAGGTTTAGCAGAATTAGGTACCATGTGTGAGCCTTTACGGAGCTGCTCTATTAGTGAAGAAAATGGACTCAGTGCAGCTTTTACCATAGCCCACGAGCTCGGGCACGTGTAAGTACCTTCTGCCGCCTCAGTAATGTGCCTTCTATTCATTCTATTTAGAATGCCTAAAATTCCATCTTCAATTGAATAATTAGCACCTGTACATCTTTAAAAAAATATTTTTAGTGTAATTTTTACCCCTGAAATGCTAACTCTGGCTCTTTTGTGATCTATGTTAGGTCAGACAGGCTGCACAGATCAACAGACTAAGCAAAGAACTAGAACTTGGGAATTCTTTTATTTCATTTACTGTATTGGATTACATGACAAGCACTTCTGGCCTCTATCCCTTGTTATCCTATACATGACCAGGTACTGTCCTCTACCATCTTATGGGAGGGCCCACAGGGGATCCTGGTTCTGGGCAGCTCCCCAAAATATTTATAACACCTACTCATTTCTTGCTTTTATAGCTCAGAGCCCCAGTGGAGAATGTGGCACATGGGAATTTATTAATAATTAAGATTTTTTTCAAAGTGTTTCTCCCAGATCCATAGTTTTTTTGTAAAATTTTGGGGCTCTCCTATCTGATCCTGCATTATTAAAAATTCTACTGGGGTTCTATGCTCTAGGAATGGAGGCCATGATTTCCAGTGATACCTTTGGCGCTCCCATGGAAACTCAGAAACCCCTATACAAACTCATCCTCTGGAAAATGATTCCAAATATACCCCCCAGAATTCCTGGGATTTCTTTGGTACCTGCTAATAAGGAATTGAGGCTAGAGTTGCCTCTCTTAGTTTGACTACATTTCCTTTTCCTGGTCATGGCTTGACATCATTAAAGTATTCATCTGGAACAATTCCAAATGGAGATCATTTTATTCAGGTAGTGCCTCTTCAGTTCCCTTTCATGATGGTTATATCTCATGAGCATCACCAAGGTGCACACCTGGATTCTTAAGTTGTTTCTTAAAGTGGGGGATAGGATTAGAAGCATAACTGAGGGCTATAGATGCATTGTAGTAACATCTGAAAAGTGCTGTTTGCTGGTTTAGAAGACTGTTCTTGCAGAGAATACCATCTTAGACATTTATTTTCGTAGAAACTCTCTAGACGTCTTTAGAATATGGGTAAGTAGATTAAAAGACTGATTTAAGTACACATTTCGGCAGGCAGACTTGAATCAGGTGGTTTCAATGTTCCTTCTAACTGCGAGTTTATACTTGGGTCCTCAAAAGAATACATAGGATCTGTTGCTGGTCAGCTAATTATTTAATATCACTGCTCTTGTTAAGATTTGGTTGCCTTATAGGAATGTTTTTATTATTCTGGTTTATTGATAATCACATTGATTATAGACCAGAAACAATACTTAGGCTGTTTCATATAAAATAGATAGATTTTACAAAATGATATGGAATTAAGGATTAAAGAAGTCCTTTTGATACTATAGTAATAGTGGTCTAGAATTTAGTGTAGTATCACCTTTACTTAATTTCCCCACAGCTCCTAGGATAGACATGTTGAAAACTGCAGGTGTTTTTATGTGAATGCTTTGTTCATGTGATGAAGTGACCCAGGATCCAAATATTTGATTGTTTGGATTCAGATACCATATCAACAGACTGTGCTTCTTATCAAAGTTTAATCTAGTATTTCAGAGATGATGTGCTTCTAAACATAAAGGTAACCTAGTTTTATAATGCCTTGTGGAGAGATTAAGAGTACAAATTCCAGTGCAACTAGATTTATCTGCATTTACATTATAATGTAAATATAAGAGATTTGTAACTAATGTTATATATATATATATATTTTAGTATTCTTTTTTAAGTGTTTGTTTTTACTTTTAGATTTAATGTTCCACATGATGACAGTTTTAAATGTAAGGAAACTGGAATTAAACATCAATATCA